CAAACACCACCAGAGTGGTTCGAACTTAGTAAGACCTCTCACCATTTTATTATGATGTGATTATATATAATTGTTATGGTACTTTCAACAATTAATCTTATGTGGTTGTTTTATGAATCTAGTGGATATATGGCTCCTGAATATGCAATGTAAGATCAATTTTCGGAAAAAATCAGACGTGTTTAGTTTCGGAGTTCTATTGCTTGAAATTATTAGTGGAAAACGAAACACTGGGTTCTACGGCCACGGACATTCTTTAAGCTGGTTAGAATTTGTATGTCTATAAAATTTTGTATGAAAAGTTAGTCTGTCTCAAATTTATTATAACATTCAAATATCAATAACTCATACAATTTTGTTAATACTGTTTCAGGCATGGAAGTTATGGGAAGGAGACAATCTAATTCCTTTCACTGAACCAACAATTTATGAATTGAGGTACCAACCAGAGATTTTGAGATGCATTAATGTTGGGCTATTATGCATTCAAGAATCTATAAATGATAGGCCAAATGTTTCTACCATTTCTACCATTATTTCAATGCTCAATAGTGAAATTGTATGTCTTCCTTCTCCAAAACAACCGGGCTTTATTAGTAGACCATGGGAGAGTAACATGGAGGTATTTCGTATAAATTGTGATAAATTTTCTGTAAATAATCTTACAGTTACCACACTTGTACCTCGGTAGTGTGTTAGATTGGATAACAAATCTTTGTAAATTTGTAATGGTAGTATTAGAATCCATATAAATGAATTAAATTTATCCAACTGCTTTTGAGGTGGGTGGTGGGTATCAAGCGGATGTACAATTTGTTTGGGCAAATAATCAAATTTTTGCTGAATTAGTTTAATAGATTTTTTTAAGGTCTAATTTCAACTTTAAAGATGTCGATTGAATTGACCTTTCAACTTTATAAAATGTGTAATAAGTGTAAAAAATTTTAATATCAAATCCGTAATAAATCTTTAAATTTAAAAAAGTGTTTAATACATTTAGAATTTTAATTTAATATTATATTGTGAGAACTTATTAAACAACACTCTAATCTTATTATATACCTTTTTTTTTAGTCTAGAAATGTAAACACAACTTTAAAAATAATTATGCGGAGACATTGTTCACATATATTAATAAAAATATCTATACTATTACCAAGTCAACGCCCACATATATTAGTTGAAATATCTTCTCCATACAATTTCAAGGAAAGAAAGCAGAGTTTTCATATAAAAGGAATCATCATAAATCATGGACTGGAATTAATTTTATAATACCATTTATAATGGCAGCAACTAATCTGGACTTTTCTCCAGTTTGACTTCATTTCTGTTTCTTTCTAGAAAATTACTTTATCTACGTATCACTCTGACCTTTTTTTTTACTTTTTAAAAAATATTATCTATTAATTCCAATAAGAATGTGTAAGTGGTTAAAGTAGGTATCTAAGGTCATGAGTTTGAATTCCCACCATAAATCCTCACTTATAGATGTAATATTCGAAGTCTAACCAAGATTTTAAGTAACAAAAATAGAAAAAATAATTTAGAATATGTTAAGGACAATCCTAGTATCTAAATGGTATGATATTGTCCCTTTGTACATAACCCTCTCGATTTTATTTTTTGTTTCATCCAAAAGATCTCATAGATAATTTTCTCTCTTCTCTAACAAATGTGGAAGTTTATTTGTATTTACCTTACAAACCCAACAAAATAAATTATTAATTTTTTAATATACAAAATATTCATCGTTATTTTACGACAGATAATATTATATTGAAATATATACTATGAATATAGTACATATATTTGTTTTATAAAGAAAGAGGAAAAAAAGGTCTTTTCTGGTGGCCAGAGACGTATAGATGGGACAAAGAGAGAATTTTAAACTATCGAAGTACGTACTAGGTATATAATAGTCCCCTAAATAAATATTCCCTAATTTTTTAAAAACAGTAGTCCCATTTTTTAGGTAATTTTTAATCTGGTCCTGACTCCTGAGTATTATGAAATTATCAATTTTATTTTAATATATTAAAAGTTTTAATGAGTTCCTTTCATGGTTTAATAAAAAAAATGTCAAATTTTACTATTACAAAATTTGTGCGATAAAAATATTGCTTTATTAATATATTGTAAATAAAAATTTGTGCAAAATTTGCAACCAATATTGCTTTATTAACATATTTAGCCAAACAAAAACAATAAAACATGAGAAGAAGGGTCTTAAATACTGAAACAAGTATAATTGATATGTTTGTAACGAAAAATACTTAATCTCAGAAAAGAAATTTAACAGAAATATGTTCTGTTAGTTCCCGGGGCTCCTTTGTTAATGTTTTTATTCATTATTTTTTTCCTCAATTCTAATAAAGAAAAACAAAATTACATAGTCTCAACAACGAAATCAAAGATCAAACAATATTTATATTTATGTTTGGCAACAAATTGGAAACGGAAACAAAAATAAAAAAAAATTAAATTTGTTCCGATTGTTCCCATATTCAATTTTTGAGAATTTTAAAAAATAAAAAATAGAAATAATTGCAAAGTGCTTGATTCTAATAAAATTGAAAATCAGAAACAAGTAACGGAAACATTAAGGTTAGTTTGGTAATGTTTGATTGTTTCTATTTTCTTTTTCTTTTAATAAAGAAAAATGACATACATCTATATATTTAAGAATGATAAAATTATATTTTTATTTATGTCGCGTAAAAAGTTGAAAATGAGAATAAGAAGACGACGGAAAAAAAAAAAAACCTAATTTTCATTATCGGGTAACTTTAATTAGAAGTCTCGTATGAGTCTTGAGTTACTAAATTTGGCATACTCTTGTTACCCGATAATGTCACCAAATTTTATTTGAGCAAAGTTTTTTAGTAGTCTACAGAAAATGAATTATTGGAAGAATGAAAAGGATTCCTTCAAATAAACAATAATAATAATAATATTAAAAATAAAGTTATTTTTTGTTTCAAAAATTTCCATTTCTAAGATAATAAAGAAAGATAAATAGTTATAGTTTCTTAATAAAATTTGGGAATTTGTAATGGGTAGCATATAAGTTTTCTATATTTAACAAAATAGCATGCCTTTTTTATATTTTCAGAATTTTGAAAATCCTGATTTTAAAATTTTCAGTATTCCCAAATTAATTACCCTTTTCAGTTATCGCTTCGTTATTATATATCAAACATATATCACATATATATCAGGAGTATATCTGACAACATTAGTATATTAGAAGTCAATCAGTTCTATATTAGTTGTATAATAGTAAATCACTATTTTACCTGCTTTAACCATTTGTCTTGTATTTTTTTTTTGATCAATTAGAAATCGGTAGGTATTGGCATGCATGAGAAAACTTGATACTTACTAAAAATGAGAAAGAAAACTTGAAAGGAACGTGAATGTGAACGTCAATGGTGATTTTCGAAGTTACTGTGAATGAGAAACCAATTAGAAATTATAAGTAAATAGAAACTTAGGGTTTTTTTTGTATATCAATAATATATCAGTGATATATCAAGTATGCATCGTACATATATCAATAGTACAATTAAGTTTTATTAAAGTTTTAAATATCAAAACGAAATCAGCAACAATGTCATTCTTAAAAGATTTAAACATCATTCTTGGGTATCAACATCAACATCAACATCAAATGAACCAGTAGCGTCAACCAAAAACTTAAAGGTTTAAACATCAAAACGAACCAGTAGCATAAACCAAAAGTAGACTAACAATGTCATTCTGAAAATTCTATAAATGAAGAAGCATAAGTTCCAACAGTTTAGAAAAGCATAAGTTTCATTCTTGTATAATCTTTTAGTAAAAGCTTGGGACATCAATCTTCGTTCTTGGTGATTGTCGTGTTTTCGGAGATAATATCTTTGAAGCTTTCCGTTTTTCCATAGACAACACTTTTGGCGTTGGTTTATGTTGTCTTTTGGACGAACGACATCAACATTTTCAACAATGCTTTTTTATTTCATTTTTCGTGTTTATACCATTGCTTTTATCTGGAAAAAAAAATTATTTCATATATTAGTAGTATATCAAAAAACATATATTAGAGCTAATATGTTCGAAATAATTGATAGATATCATAGTTATATAAAAAGTAAATCAATTTCATATCATATGTATATCAAACCTATATCACACATATATCAAGAGTATATCTATTAATCATAGTTATATCAGAAGTAAATCAATAGTATATCAGAAGTCAATTAGTTATATATCATCTATAGTAGTAGATATCACATAGTTATATAAGAAGTAAATCAATTTCATATCATATGTATATCAAACATATATCACATATATATCAGGAGTATATATGTCAATCATAGTTATATCACAAGTAAATCAATAGTATATCAGAAGTCAATCAGTTCTATATCACCTATAGTAGTATATATCATAGTTATATCAGAAATAAACAATTTCATATCAGATGTATATGAAACATATATCACATATATATCAGGAGTATATCTGTCAATCATAGTTATATCATAAGTAAATCAATAGTATATCATAAGTCAATCAATTCTATATCACCTATAGTAGTAGATATCATAGTTATATCAGAAGTAAATCAATTTCATACCATATGTATATCAAACATATATCACATATATATCAGGAGTATATCTGTCAATCATTAGTATATGAGAAATCAATCAGAAGTAATTTATTGTTTGTTCGGGCCTGCAAGGTATACTTGTAGTTTAGCCTCCGTTTTTTTACAAAAAAAAAAAATACTATATTTGAAAAACTCAATCCTTACTATTTTACTTATTTTCCTAACTTTTTTTTACCATGTTTGCCCCGTAAAATTACAACATTTCTTATTTTCCTCTTCGAAATTGTCAAACAAAGCAGCTGCCGTCAATCCGCTTGGCTGGCTGCCCAACAAAACTCGTAGACCTTCTAATTGAAAACCCTCGCCCCCAACTTGTTTCTCAAGGGACGAGATTCAACGCTGTGCAGTCCCATCAATGGTTCTCGCAAAATACGGGTCGTCTATTTTACACACCCTTCAGCACGCTGTGCAGTTTGGATCAATTGATTAGTATTCGGCGACGGTCATGAAATCCAAAAAAAGCTGCAATTTTTCCTGTCCTCTTCTTCATCTTCTTCTTCTTCTTTCATTTACATGCTTCTCTTCAACATTTTGCTCTGCCAAAGATACCATCACATCAACAAATTTCATCAAAGACCCTGCAACTATATCATCCAATTCCAGTTCCTTCGAGTTGGGATTCTTCGCACCTCCTAATTCTACCCGCCGATATGTCGGAATTTGGTTCAACCAAGTCTCCGTACAAACCTTAATATGGGTAGCCAACAGAGACAATCCTTTAAACAACACTTCTCAAGGGATCTTCACAATTTCCAAGGATGGGAATCTTGTGGTCTTAGATGGAAACGACACCGTCCTCTGGTCTTCAGATGTTTCTTCTTCTTCTTCAACCAATCGAAGCGCCCGAATTTTAGATTCGGGAAACCTGGTTCTGGAAGATGCTTCTTCAGGGGAGGTTATATGGCAGAGTTTCAAACACCCTTCTGACAAATTCTTGCCCGCCATGCAAATCATCACAAACAAATTAGACGTAAATTCCAAAGACAAGGTTCAGCTTACCTCATGGAAAAACCCTTCGGATCCATCTACAGGAAACTTTTCCTTCGGGATGGATGTTCAAAATCTCCCAGAAGTTGTGGTTTGGAATGGCCGTGATCCTTATTGGCGGTCTGGTCCATGGAATGGTAATTCTTTTATCGGAGTACCCGAAATGGAAGCTGTTTATCTTTCCGGATACAGCCTTGTAATCCAAGACCAAACTTACACTCTCTCTGTTTCTTACAATTATAGCATTCAAGAATTTGCTTATTTGTTTTTAAGCCCGGGAGGGAATTTGCAGCAAACGTACTGGGATGTTTCGGAGGAGCGCTGGAAGATTACTTGGATGTCTCTACAAACGCGTTGCGATTTGTATGGTGCTTGTGGGGCATTTGGGATCTGCAATCCCAAACCGTCCCCTGTTTGCAGCTGTTTAAAAGGGTTTAAGCCAAATCATGAAGAGGAGTGGAATCAAGGAAATTGGAGTGGTGGTTGTGTCAGAAATACACCATTGCTGTGTAATGCCACCACTCTGGAAGATGGGTTTTTGAAAGTGGAAACAGTTAAATTGCCATTTTTGGCAGAGTGGTCCGGCATTTCCTCTCTTACAGCAGATGATTGCAGACAGTTGTGCTTGAAGAATTGTTCTTGTACTGCTTATGCATATGAAAATGGTATCAATTGTATGCTTTGGAGAAGGGATGATTTAATTGATATGCAAAAGTTTGAGAGTGGTGGAGCTGATCTTTATGTTCGAATGGCGTATGCCGACTTAGATCATACTACAAGTATATACTTCTAACTCTGCCTATAAACTTCTACTGCAATTTTTTCATCATTGAAATTATTTAATGTTATTTTGATCTAACACAGATGATCGTGTAAAAGACAAGACGGGAATTATTATAGCCATAGTGCTACCGACAACGCTTGTCATTTTCGTCATTGCAATATACTTGTGGTTGAGATGGAAAAGGAAAGCTCCCAAAAACGGTAACTAAAAAGTCAAATTAAAATTTGTCTTTCAATATGACATTTGAGACAGTCTTATAATGCGTGCTAATTATAGTCAATGTCATAAATTCTTTACCATTTTACTACAAAGTACAAAGTCATAATCTTTGGTAACGTTTGATGTTAATAAACAGAGAAGAAGAAAACTATGGCGTCCGGAGAAAAAGAGAAGATTTTGAAACTGAAAAGAGAAGATGATATGATTGAGGATGATATAAAACTTGAGGAGCTACCTATTTATGATCTTGAGAAGCTGGCAATGGCAACCAACAATTTTGATTTGACCAACAAGCTTGGGCAAGGTGGCTTTGGTCCAGTGTATAAGGTAAGTACTTTTTCTTTATAATATTCTTTGATTATTGGAGGAAGCTAGTGTATGATTTAAGAATTTTATTTTCAGGGAAAATTAGCAAATGGACAGGAAATAGCAGTAAAGAGGCTTTCAAGGGTCTCCCAACAAGGATATGAAGAATTTATTAATGAAGTAAGAGTAATTTCAAAACTACAACATAGGAATCTTGTGCGACTTTTTGGTTGTTGCATCGAAGGAGAAGAGAAGATGTTGATATATGAGTATATGCCCAACCTAAGTTTGGATGCATTAATTTTTGGTGAGATACTCTGACCCTAAATTTCAAAAGTTACGACAGTGTTTAATGTAGTTTGGGATTTTCATTCACTAACCAAAGCTAAAATCTATACACGTGTAGGCTCCTCCAAACAAAAACTTTTGGATTGGAGAGAGAGATTTAATATTATCGATGGAATTGCTCGAGGACTTCTTTATCTTCATAGGGATTCGAGATTGAAAATTATTCATAGAGATCTCAAGGCGAGCAATATTCTGTTAGACAAAAATTTCAACCCTAAAATTTCGGACTTTGGCACGGCAAGAATTTTTTATGGCAATGAAGTTAAAGCCAACACTTTAAGAATTGTTGGAACTTAGTAAGTATCTTTCTCGTCATTTTATAGTAAATCGATCCTTATTGTTATGTAGCTAACAATAATTCATTGATGTGTTTTTGTTTTCTACAAATCTAGTGGATATATGTCTCCTGAATATGCAATGCAAGGTCAATTTTCAGAGAAATCAGACGTGTTTAGTTTTGGAGTTCTATTGCTTGAAATTATTAGTGGAAGACGAAATACAGGGTTCTACTACCACGAGCATTCTTTGAACTTATTAGAATTTGTACGTTCATACAAGTTTCTAGAAAAGTTGTTCTCAAATTCATTGTATCATTCACATCTCAATAACTCATACAACTTTGTTAATTAACTTCGTTTCAGGTATGGAAGTTATGGGAGGGAGACGATCTAATTCATCTGATTGAACCTACAATTTATGAATTGAGGTACCAAGGAGAGATTTTGAGATGCATTCATGTTGGGCTCTTGTGCATTCAAGAACTTATAAATGATAGGCCAAATGTTTCTACCATTATCTCAATGCTGAATAGTGAAATTGTAGATCTTCCTTTCCCAAAACAACCGGGCTTTATTGGTAGACCACGCGAGAATAGCATAGAGGAATCTCAAAAAAATTGTGATAAATTTTCTGTAAATAATAGTCTTACAGTTACCACAATTGTACCTCGGTAGCTTGTTGGATTGGACAACAAATAGTTTTGGTTTACTTGTAACCTATTCGTAATTGTGGCTTAAAGAGCATACTGATACTGATAATTGATACGGTAGGGCACCGACCTTCTCAATTTTATTTTACTTTCTTAAATTGGTTTAATATTTTCACTTCTAATTAAAGTCTATCTATAGATTTTCTTAAGGTTGAATTGCATGGTCAAAGATGTTCATTTTTTACTTTGTAAAATATTTAATGTTTTCAAAAAAAACTTTTAATAGGGTTACTAATTGATCTTTAGATTTCGAAAAATGTCTAATAAATTCTGGTCTGAAGTGAAATGAATAATCATAAATCATAGACTGGAATTAATTTTATAATATAATAGAAATACTTAACTGCATATCATTATCGATTTTTAATTTGATTTTTCTTTTCAGTTCAAAAAAATATTAGCGGGATCCATTGATCTTAATTGGTTTATAAATAAGTCAGGTTAGAATGATATACTGCGTTTGGGTTTTGGTATAACTTTAAAAAAATAATACTTTTAAAGAAAATAATTTCTTCTCCCAATACTTTTGTAAAAAGTATTAATTTAAACTTTCTAGGTAATTTTAGATGAGTAGGAATATTTTTTTAAAAAAGTTTAATGTTAGGTAGTAAATAAAAAATATTTTTTTAAAAAATTGATTGTCTTAAAATACCTTTTTATTAAACACTTGAAAGATAATTATACACAAAATTATTTTTGAAAAATCTCAAATGGTTAACTTACCTGGACATTTTGAATTTGAACCCTCATCTCACAATTTATACTAAAAAATATATCAAACTCACCGTTGGTAAGATTTGTCCTTAGGTAAGTATTGTTTGTTTGTTTTTTATTTATCCCTCAGTGTTTAAATTTCTGGTTCTATTTCTGACGTAACATTCTCAAATTTTAAATTACAAAAAATAGAAAAAAGTGATAAAATAATTTTTTATATTTTTTAATACTTAAAATATTCATCGTTAATTTACTGCAGATAATATTATATTGAAATATAAACTATGAATACAGTATTTTATTGGTTTACAAAGAATAAGGAAAAGACAAATCAAGAAGTCTTTTCTGGTGGCTAGAGTTTCAAGGCACAGATATTTTAAAACATCAGCGCTGAACATATCAAAATGGTAATCAATATTTGAAGTAATTCTCCATTTGCTAATTAAACATTTAAAATTTTCAATTTTATTCTAATCTATTAAAAATTCTCAGTTAAATTTTTTCAGAAAGAATGTCACAAATTTAATAATAAAAAGTTTTTATTATTAAAATACTGTTTTATTATTATAATTTTTTTTGCAAAAGGGAAATATTGTTTTATCGTGAAACTGCAGAAAGCCCAGCTGCAGCTGCATCCAAAATTTTCCAATCCGCTTCTCATCAAGTTTGCACCGCTGCAGACACAACTTGTACACCTAATTGTGAAATATTCTCCATTGCGGGTACCAAAATATTTTCACATAGAATAACAAAATTTTACCTTCTAATTTTTTATTGGCACAAATTTTCAATTCTGAAAACTCTGTAGGAGAAAACTTTCAAAATCTTTAATTTAATTTTTCTTTAGGTTGTGCACAGTCCCATTAATGGTCATCGCAAAATTAGGGTCGTCTATTTTATACACCCTTTTGCACGCAGTTTGGTTGAATTGATCAGTAAAAACACCTGCAATTTTTCATGTCGTCGTTTTCTTGATCTTCTTCTTCTTTCATTTATATGCTTCTCTTCAACAATTTGCTCTGCCCAAGATACGATCACATCAACAAATTTCATTAAAGACCCTGCAACTATATCATCCAATGCCAGTTCCTTCGAGTTGGGATTCTTCGCACCTCCTAATTCTACCCGCCGATATGTCGGAATTTGGTTCAACCAAGTCTCCGTACAAACCTTAATATGGGTAGCCAACAGAGACAACCCTTTAAACAACACTTCTCAAGGGATCTTCACAATTTCCAAAGATGGGAATCTTGTAGTCTTAGATGGAAACGACACCGTCCTTTGGTCTTCAAATGTTTCTTCTTCTTCTGCAGCCAATCGAAGCGCCCGAATTCTAGATTCGGGAAACCTTGTTTTGGAAGATGCTTCTTCAGGGGAGGTTATATGGGAGAGTTTCGAACACCCTTCTGATAAATTCTTGCCTTCCTTGAAATTTTTGACCAACAGAAGAACTAAAGACACAGTGGGGCTTACCTCATGGACCAGCCCTTCCGACCCATCTACAGGGAACTTTTCCTTTACGTTGAATGTCTTCAATCTCCCTGAAGCTGTCATTTGGAATGGAGGTAGCCTTTATTGGCGGTCTGGTCCATGGAACGGCCAGTCTTTCATCGGAGTACCCGAAATGGAATCTGTTTATCTCTCCGGATTCAACCTCGTAATCCAAGACCAAACTTACACTCTCTCTGTTCCTTACAATTACAGTATTCAAGAATTTGCATATTTGTTTTTAAGATCGGAAGGGGATTTGGAGCAAATGTACTGGGATGCTTCGGAGGGGTGGAAGATTAGTTGGTCGGCTCTAAAAACGCGGTGCGATTTTTATGGTGCTTGTGGGGCGTTTGGGATGTGCAATCCCAAAGCATCCCCTGTTTGCAGCTGTATAAAAGGGTTTAAGCCAAAGCATGAAGAGGAGTGGAATCGAGGAAATTGGAGTGGTGGATGCACCAGAAATACACCACTGCAGTGTGAGAAATCGAACAATGATAATGCCACCATTCAGGAAGATGGGTTTGTAAAAGTGGAAATGGTTAAAGTTCCATATTTGGCAGAGTGGTCCATTACTTCTCTTACAGCAGAGGATTGCAGACAGGAATGCTTGAAGAATTGTTCTTGTACTGCTTATGCATATGAAAATGGCATTCGTTGTATGCTATGGAGAGGAGACTTAATTGATATACAGAAGTTTGAGGGCGTTGGAGCTGATCTTTACCTTCGAATGGCATATGCAGATTTGGATCATACTACAAGTATATATATACTCTCCCTTTCCCTCATTACAGTTTTTCAACCTTGTAATTATGTTGTTTTTGGAACTAAGTATATCTTTAATATTGATTTCTTCATCCCCAGATGTAAAAGACAACAGAAGAGTAATTATTATAGCCACAGTTCTACCAGCAACGCTTATCATATTCATCATTGCCATATACTTGTGGTGCAAACAAGGTAACTAAAAAAAAAAAAAAAATTGTCTTATAGTTTTAACATGACATTTGAGGTAGTATATATTGCTAATTATAGTCATTTCATTTCTTAAGCGTTTTAGTAGTGGGTAAAAGGGTTTATATTTGGTTAACATTTGAGGTGTATAAACAGAGAAGAAGAAAACTATGAGGTCCAGTGAAAAAGAGAAGATTTTGAAACTGACAAGGGAAGATGATATGATTGAGGATGATATCAAACTTGAGGAGCTACCTCTTTATGATTTTAAGAAGCTAGCAATGGCAACCAACAATTTTGATTTGACCAACAAACTTGGGCAAGGTGGCTTTGGTCCAATGTATAAGGTACATGGCTACTACTTTTTGTGGGTTCTTTTTCTAAAAAAAACATTAATCGGAAGCTTATATGGTTTAAGAAAAAGTTTTATTTTCAGGGAAAATTGTTAAATGGACAAGAAATAGCAATAAAGAGGCTTTCCAGGGCCTCTAATCAAGGATATGAAGAATTTATTAATGAAGTGAGGGTGATTTCAAAACTACAACATAGGAATCTTGTGCGGCTTTTTGGTTGTTGCATCGAAGGAGAAGAGAAGATGTTGATATATGAGTATATGCCTAACCTAAGTTTGGATGCATTAATTTTTGGTGAGATATATACTTGAGCTAAATTTCAAAAGTTTGGAATATTCATTCGGTAACCAAAATTAAAATCTATACATGTGTAGGTTCACCAAAACAAAAACTTTTGAATTGGAGGGAGAGATTTAATATTATCGATGGAATTGCTCCAGGACTTCTTTACCTTCATAGAGATTCGAGATTGAAGATTATTCATAGAGATCTCAAGGCAAGTAATATTTTGTTAGACGAAGATTTGAACCCTAAAATTTCGGACTTTGGCATGCCAAGAATCTTTTATGGCAACGAAGTTAAAGCGAACACTTTAAGAGTTGTTGGAACTTAGTAAGTCTCTGTCGCCATTTTATATTAAATTTTGATCCTCATTGTTATATGTAGCTAATAACGATTCATTTATGTGTTTTTGTGTTTGTATGAATGTAGTGGATATATGTCTCCTGAATATGCAATGCAGGGTCAATTTTCAGAGAAATCAGATGTCTTTAGTTTTGAAGTTCTATTACTTGAAATCATCAGTGGAAGGAGAAACACAGAGTTCTACCCCCACGAATATGCCATAACTTTATTGGGATTTGTAAGCTCGTGAAAAACTTCACTCCCAATTTCATGACAAGATTCAAATCTGAATAACTCATACAAGTTTATTAACTTGGTTTCAGGCATGGAAGTTGTGGATGGAAGACAATCTTATGCATTTGATTGAACCAACAATATATGAATTGGACTACCAATTAGAGATTTTCAGATGCATTCAAGTGGGGCTCTTATGCGTTCAAGAATTTATAAATGATAGGCCAAATGTCTCCACCATTATTTCAATGCTCAATAGTGAAATTGTAGATCTTCCTTCTCCAAAGGAACCAGGTTTTGTTGGCAGAACACATGAAAGTAGCACAGATTCATCCCAGCAAAACTTAGATAAATATTCTGTAAATAGTGTCACACTTACCAAAATTATAGCTAGATAGTTCATAGGTAGCAGTACCAAATAATTGTACCTTTTTTTCTAATCTTATACCTTTTGAAGAATCTTCCAATTTATTACACCTATTTCTTGTATTTCTCAATCCATATATTGTTCCCACGGATTTTGATTTTGATTTTTTATGTTTCATTATTAGATAATGTGAAATTTGGATGTCATTCCAAATACAACTTTACCAAGTCAATGCCACATTGTATATTAAAAGAAATTGATCCATCATTTCCAATATATATAAAGTATTAGTATAGAAGTATCGTCATCATGGACTATGGAATATAATTTTATAACATAGTTTGACATTGAAAATACCTAATCACCTGGACATTTCTCGAGTTTGACTCAGTTGCCCGAAAATCATTTCTTTACTCAATCTCGTGTTATGCATGATTTTCTTGCTAGATGGTCATAATTTTCCAAAGATGATAAGGTTTTATAAAATTGATGTTTGTGAATATTTTGACTCTTTCTATTACTGGGTATACCATAATTTGGATCGCCCAAAAAACATCAACACTCAATAATTAGAAAAGCTGTTGTGGGAAAGTATTTTTCTATATACATTTATTAAATAAATTCAGAGGAAATCATCGATCATATTGTAATATTTAGACAAATTGATTAAATTAGTTGAATATAGTAACCATTATATATTGTAATTAAAAGAGAGTTGTAAGCTTTTTAAAAACAGCAAGGTCTTGTGATAATTAACTTGTTAGCAAATGTAGTTTTATATTCATCATTCTTTTTGTTGAATCGCCAACAAAATTATTAATGATATGATTGTATAGATGTCAACTAAATTTTAACTTTTACCTATTTTATTATCATTAAGTTTTTATTTCAAGCATTGCACACGACTTTTAATATTTTAAAATAATATTTGACAGTGAAGTTTCAAAATTATTCAACATATAACATAATTTTCAAATGGTACGGAGAATTAGTTACTGAAAAAAAATGTTGTTGTTCATTGAAAGTTGTATATTTTTTCAGTAAACAATGACAAAATACATGTTTCCGTCCTAAATGTATGGAAAGTTTCTTCAATGGTCAGTAATTCGGTGAAAATTTAGAGAATAAAACAAAAAATAAAAAGTCATCAAAGGGAAAAGAAAAAAAAAAGAAATTCCGAAGAAAAATTAGAAACTTTCCTGGCTTAGATGATCATTTTACCTAGGTAAATTTTTGCCAATTCAATAATTATTAGGTCATACAATTCAATGCTACGAATATGAAATTTGGTAAAAGAAAAGTTCGAAAACAATCAAGATAACTAAGAGACTGTGAATTCGAACTTCCACCCATATTAAAAAAAAAAACATTAATTTCTAAATGAAGTTTAAAATTTTAGAGTCATTTACTAGATTCGAAAGTAGTAGCTAAGCTTTGCATAAGCACGTACCTACCGCAACCAATTAAAAAGAAAAAGGAAAAAGGCAAAAAAGAGTAGGACTCTAAAAGGATCATATGAGTTTGGAAGTTTGACCAGCAGTGGAGTGGCACCCAATCAGCTTTCCCATCGAACTTGTTTCTAAGGCAATGTGATTAAACAGCCTTCAGTTCCAAGGATTTATGCACAATATAAGCCTCTCTTTTACACATTATTTTGTCACTCCAATTAGTAATCAACAGATTAAAACAGCCATGAAATTGAACCCCCAAAAGTATTGGAGTAGTTTTTCATGTCGTCTCCTCCTAATCCTTCTTTCATCTTCATGTCTCTGTTCAAATCTTTGCTTCGGGCGTACAGATACCATCACATCAACCAATTTCATCAAACACCCTTCAACCATAACATCCAATTCCACTTCCTTCCAGCTCGGCTTCTTCACACCTCTCAACTCCACAAACCAATTCCTCGGAATTTGGTTCAACAATCAAATATCTCCACAAACCGTTGTGTGGGTGGCCAACAAAGACGAACCTCTCAAACACTCCCCCGGAATCTTCACCATTTCCCAAGATGGAAACCTTGTCGTCTTAGACGGAAACGACGCCGTCCTTTGGTCTTCAAACATTTCATCTTCTCCCAAATCCAATAGAACCGCCAGCATTTTAGACACCGGCAACCTCATCTTGGAAGATACAACTTCTGGGGTTGTTTTATGGCAGAGTTTCGAACACCCATCTGATAAATTCTTGCCATCCATGAAATTTATGACCAACACAAGAACAAAACAGAGACTGGGGCTTACTTCATGGAACACCCCTTCTGATCCATCCACGGGAAATTTCTCGTTTGGGCTGTACGTTCACAACATTCCCGAAGCTGTGATTTGGAATGGCCGTGACACGTTTTGGCGATCCGGTCCATGGAATGGACAGGGTTTTATGGGAATACCCGACATGGTCTCTGTTTATCTCTCTGGATACAGCCTCGTAATCGAAGACCAAACTTACTATCTTTCCGTCACTTACAACGAGGCTGAGAAATTCGATTACTTGTTTTTAAGCTCGCAAGGAAATATTCAGGAAATGTACTTGGATTCTGAGGAGAAGCGGTGGATGGGAGGTTGGTTGGCTATAAAAACGCAGTGTGATTACTATGGTGCTTGTGGGGCTTTTGGGATCTGTAATGCGAAAGCGTCCCCTGTTTGCAGTTGCTTAAAAGGGTTCAAGCCAAAGCGTGAGGAGGAGTGGAATCAGGGAAATTGGAGTGGTGGGTGTGTGAGAAATACGCCATTGGAGTGTGAGAAGTCAAACAGGAGCGCCACTGAGGTGGAAGTTGATGGATTTTTGAAAGTGGGAGTTGTTAAAGTTCCATTTCTTGCAGAATGGTTGAATTCCTCTGCTTCGGTAGATGATTGTAGAGGTGAGTGCTTGAAGAATTGTTCGTGTAGTGCTTATGCTTATGAAAGTGGTCTTCGTTGTATGCTGTGGAGAGGGGAGTTGATTGATATACAGAAGTTTGAGAGCGATGGAGCTGATCTTTACCTTCGTGTGGCATATGCAGACTTGGATCATACAAGTATATTCTTTTCCTAAACATCAACTGCAACGTTTTATTACTGAAATTTATATTGTTTTTTCTATCCAAGTGTTTCTAATATTGCTTTCATCCACAGATGACATAAAAGACAAGAAAGGTATTATTATAGCCATAGTACTATCAGCAATAATGTTTATCATCTTCATCATTGTTGCCATGTATTTTTGGTGGGGAGGGAAGACTCGAAAACAAGGTAACACTTATCCCATTAGTACAACAAATATAAGAATGAAAGATTAAACCTACGACGTGTAGGAGAGGAATGAGATGTTTTAACTGCTAAGTCACACTAATGTTGGTATTAAATTTATCTTGTGTTAGTTGATAAAATAGTCAGGTAAATCATTGATATGTATGGCAGGGAAGAAAAGAAATATGACTTCCACAAAGGAGGAGAAGATTTTGAAGTGGACAAGGGAAGATATGATGATTGAAGACGCAGTAGAGCTACCTCTTTATGATTTTGAGAAGTTGGCAATTGCAACAAACAACTTTGATTTAAGCAACAAGCTTGGGCAGGGTGGCTTCGGTCCAGTTTACAAGGTAGGCAACCACATGGTAAATTTATTTGATTTTATTTATTAATTGGAAGCATGTGACTTAAGATAATGTTTTTATTTCTAGGGAAAACTGTTAAATGGACAGGAAATAGCGGTGAAGATGCTCTCAAAAGCCTCTCATCAAGGATACCAAGAATTTATAAATGAAGTGAGGGTGATTTCAAAACTACAACATAGAAATCTTGTGCGACTTTTCGGTTGTTGCACTGAAGGAGAAGAGAAGATGTTAGTATATGAATACATGCCCAACTTAAGTTTGGATGCATTAATCTTTGGTGAGAATGCTGCCTAATAAGCATTAAATTGTATTTAGTATATCCGTTCACTAATTATAATTAAGTTTGTGCATGTAGGCTCCCAAAAGCAAAACATTTTGGATTGGCACAAGAGATTCAATATTATTGATGGGGTTGCTCGAGGTCTTCTTTACCTTCATCGAGATTCAAGATTAAGAATCATTCATAGAGATCTAAAGGCAAGTAATATTCTATTAGATAAAGATTTGAATCCTAAAATTTCAGATTTTGGTATGGCAAGAATTTTTGGCGATGATGAAGTTCAAGCAAGTACTGTAAGAGTTGTTGGAACTTAGTAAGAGCTCTCACCATTTTTTTTTTAAATTATATTGTTATATGCAACTAACATAAACTAATTTTTGATGTGATTTTCATGAACCAAGTGGATATATGTCTCCTGAATATGCAATGCGAGGTCAATTTTCAGAGAAATCAGATGTGTTTAGTTTTGGAGTTCTATTGCTTGAAATTATTAGTGGAAGACGAAACACAGGGTTCTACTACCACGAATATGCTTTAAGCTTATTAGAATTTGTACGTCTATAATTTCCTTTTTTTTTTTTAATTACTCTCTAAATTCATTATAACATTCAAAATCTCTAAAACTAGCTCATATAACTTTTATAACTTGGTTTCAGGCATGGAAGTTGTGGATGGAAGACAATCTTATTCCTTTGATTGATCCATCAATGTATGAATTGTGCTATCAATCGGAGATTTTGAGATGCATTCAAGTGGGGCTGTTATGCGTTCAAGAATTTGTAAATGATAGACCAAATATTACTACCATTATCTCAATGCTCAATAGTGAGATTGTAGATCTCCCTTCTCCAAAGCAATCGGGCTTTATTGGTACATCGCAACCAAATTCTGATAAATTTTCTCTAAATAGTCTGACACTTACCACAATTGTGCCTCGGTAGTGTTAGATTGGAAAAGTTGATATGTAATTTTGAGAGCCTACCAGTTTAATAAGGAAGGTATACGCCCTCTCAAATATTTCTCGAATTGGATAATAGTGTCACTTATAACTCAAGTCTACAAATTTGTTTTCAATTACAAGTTTAGTTTATAAATTCTAAGATGGTATCCAATTGATGTCCGAATTTTCGATATTATATATATATATATGTCTAATAAATTTCTAACCTTAAAAATTTATTTAATAAGTTCTTCAACTTTTAATTTTGTGTGATAATCTAAACTTTTAATGTCGTGTCTACTAAGTTTCTAAACTTTAAATTAAAAATTTTTAAATCTATTAAAAGTTTTTTAAAGTTTATTAAACATAATTTTAAAAGCTTGGAGATTGAACCTGTAATTTTGACCTATTTTTTTTTATCCTTCTGAACTAATGTGAACATTAGCTCCCCTTTGTAACAATTATACCAAGACAATGCCACATATATTAATAGAAATATCTCCAACATTTTTTCCAAGTCAATGACCACATATATTAATAGAAATATATCTCTAACATTTCCATTATATAATTTTAAGGAAAGAGATCAGAGTGTTCAGATTAAAGGAATCCTAAATCAAGGGTCCTGGAATTAATTTTTATCATAAATTGACATTTGAAGTACGGACTTTCCCCAAGTTTGACTTGATTGCCATTTCGTTTTATAAAAATAATTTCCTACGCCCAATTTCAAAGAAAGAAATCTTTTAAATACTACAAAATAGACCAATAAAAATATGCTACGTTATAAATAACCTGAAATTCTAACCTATACGTAGGGATTGTTCTTCTCTTATTTACCTCTCATTTAGGTTATAGTTAATTCAAGCGTAACATTCATTATCATCTCAAAAATTTGATGTCCATCCTATACTTGTTGAACTAATTAAGAAAAAAATTCATCATATTTGTATCATCACGAGTAATCTAATATTTTAGCTTAATATTTTAAATTAAAAATTAATTAATTTTTTAGCACTTAGAAAATTCATCATTAATTTATTATAAATAATATTTATAGTATATTGAAATATAAATTGCGTGCACAGCAAGGTTTTCAACGTCGATGTCGATGGAAATGTCGAGGTCTCATGGAAATATTGATGGAAATATCGATAAAATGTCGATGTTGATGGATATTTTTGTAAAAGTTATAGAAATTAAAAAATTGTAAAAAAATATTTAAATTAATAAATAAACATTTTATATTTTTAAATAAGTTAAAAAATAATTAATATTAAGATTATGTAAATATTAGTGACTTTTTTTTTGATATTTTTCATATTTGTCAATTTCTTTATACTATGATGGAAATGTCGATTTATTCTTCATGTCGATGTCGAACCTATGAAAACATGGACATGTTATTAGAAATGTCGATGTGTCGATAGATATTTAGAATCATGGTGTACAGTTTTTTCTTTCTACAGGTGTACGGTAGTATTCTGGCCCTGGAGAACAAGATCTCGAGAGAGAAAAGAAAAAGGTCTTTTCTTTTTTCCATCTCACTAGGTAACACTTAATTTGGTCCTCAATTTTGAACTTTTTAATTTTATCTTTAATATATTAAAAATTATCAATTAAGTCCATCAGTCATGCCACTTAAACACGAAATTGGATTGGGTTGATTTTGCAAGTAATATTTTTGTAATGGATGTGGATTCAGTTTTATTATGGGTCAAAGTATCATCAAAGTAGTATCTTCACGTTCACGTGTTCAAATATGTTAATAAAATAATAATTTAACAACAATATATTAAGGGATAACTTGAGATATGACAAAAAAAGTTAGGAAATTAAGTAAAATAGCAACAAGATTTGAGTTTTTCAAATATAGCAGTTTTTTGGCAAAAAAACGGAGGCCCACTATGTAAATTCCATATATACCATGTAGCCCAAAAAACCATAAATACAGGCCCGTTGGTGGAAGCCCAAAAGAACCCTAGGTTTCTATTGTTTGAAATTCTATTTCCCTATGATTTCTTAGTGATTTCTAATTGATTACACATTCATCTCCTTCCCCTCTCCTTCGATTTCTCCTTCACAGTAAGTTACCCCTTTCTTTCTCATTTTCCATGCATGTCATTTCGTGGTAATATATACTTGATATACTTTTAATTTACCACTGATATACAACTAATATAGGACTGATATATACTAATATAATTTCTGATATAGTACTGATATATGATTTATCATTGATTTACCACTTATATATATTTGATATGTACTTGATATACTTCCAATTTATCAGTGATATACTTCTGATATAACTATGATATATGTGTATTGATATATAAACTTCTGATATGATTATATGATGTTCTACAGAAAAAAAAAAGTTGTCTTTGAAATCGAAGTTTTGGTTCAAAATGAACAACTGATGTGATTATATGTTGTTAGTATATATAACGTATGACTTCATGGTGAAATTGTTGGTATATACAATTGATATACCACTTATATAACTTCTTATATGATTATATGATTTACCATTTATTGATTTATCACTGATATAGTCA